AACCTCCCTCACTATCTCTCATAAAACTGACCCGATAGCGCCTCACACCGCTCCCGCCGTCAATGTAATTTGTAACACGAACACTTAATTTAATTACTGATTGTTAAATTATTTAATTGAGGGGTATGGATACTACTCCCCATTTATTTCAAACAATTAAGATTAATAGTATTTGCTCATTATTAATAGACTATACTAAACAATTAAAGCCGAAAAAAAGTTGGTTTTGGGGTTTCTAAGATAAACGATTAAAATTAGCTGTTGTCATACTGTTGGACAGCGAGACCAGAGACTTTGAGCTAGACAGTCAGAGAGATCCAGACTGCCGCTAGTGTAAACACAGATGATTCTCGTCCATCAGTGGCAAACAATATACATTCGGGACAAAGTTAACCTTCAACTGGGACTGTCTCTAGCTCAGAGTCACTGGTCTCGCGGTCCAATAGTATGACAAGAGCTAAATTAATTTATCTATTTAAAAATAACTAGCGCTACCTAAGGGTGAAGGAGCAGATATATGAAAAAGGTTTTCTTTATAAAGATGTAGATCGTCAAAGATGAGCGACTGCTGGTCCTTTCCGTTTTTATGATACGACAAACTGTCCACTATGTCCCGTAAGAAAAGACGTGTTTGGTCTTTTTCAGATGCACGCCATTTTTGACTTTTTTATGGGGTTAGATTAGAAAGTGCGTAGTTTGGAAATTTAAGAGTAATAACGTGTTATGTAATACATTACTGTTCAAGTTCAAGTCTCCTTTTTTTAAATGGTTCAGATCCCAATTTCATAGTCCGAAACTTTCAATGTTATTCCCGTAAGATTAACATGGGGGAGTTCTATATTTAGGGGAAATTTTGAAGGGGGGAGGTTGAGATGGCATTTGTCAATATCTTACTTTTTTAATTGATTTATGCCAATGCCCAACTTACTATAATCATAACCGCATTTATGCTATTTCTCCATAAGAGTTGACGTTTTGGGCCAACAAGCGTTACGAAACAATTTTTTTTTTAGATCCACAAAAAAAATTGTTTGAGGAGGTGCAAGTTTGTTAATGTTACTTTTAGGTATTTTACCTCAAAAGTACAAGTTTATGACTGAAAAGTGATTTTAAGAATAAAATATACGTGAAAATTGAAAGAAATTTTACCAATTTTAGAAGTATGTCATTCTTTGGGGTTCAAGGGATACGATTTTTGGAATACGCTGAACGGAGTATTGTAGACAAATTAAATTCCTAACCATGAAAATCCTTTAAAATCTTACGGTTTTTATTAGTTATAGTCGTTTAACAAACATGTTTTGTAATTTTCTAATGTCCAACATTTTGAAATGTTGGAGTAATTATAATTAGGAAATGTGACATTTTGAAACGTTACCGTTAATTAAAGACCGCGTACTTACAATTTTACCAACTATGAAGTCTGAAGTCTCTACCTTGTTTTTAAATGTTAGTTACCTCCATCCCAAGACAAAAACTTTCTATGTTATTTCCCATAAGACTAACATGAGGGAATTCTAAATTTTAGAGGCGGGGGGGTTGAAAATATAACAAGCAAAATTTTAAGATTTTCCTGAGATTTTAGGACCAAGACCTACAATCGTGTCAAATTTAAGATCAGTAGTTATTGTAGAAGTGGGTAAACATTTGTATCCTCAGTGAGTCAGTCAGTTACGAGTACAAATCGGGCTGTGTAGTTAATTAGATTGTATCTAAAAGCTATTTTATTCTAAAGCAAATTTTACTACAACGTGCTAGCAAAATAAACTCATTTAACCAGCTTTGTATACAGCGATAGACTACCTGGTCTACTGTGCTAGCTGTGAGACGGTATAGAGTCCTAAGTATACATCATAAGTTTATGCCTTATGATGCTTGCACCATTATAGCTCCCCTTAATATTACGGCGTTATCAAGACAGGGGTAGTTTATTAACTTCAACATCTGTGCAACCACAATATACTGCAAGGCTGGTGAAGTTTTAAACTGTTATCGTTCACATGCGTAAATAAATTACCATACACTTAGCGTTATGTTGTTAAGAATTCGGTGTAGATCAAACCATAATGACTATCGCTTGCGAACAACTCTTCAGCTTTTAAATTAAAATAGTGTTTGCAGCCCCTAAAAAAAATAACACCAGCTTTGTTTTATAATTTTGCATTATACTGAAGATGTACAATGAACAATACTTTGAATGAGTACATCCTCTAGTAATTCCTTACCCATGTACTAAGTAGTATGAATTGACTCAGTAATTAAGTAGACATATATAACAGCTGTAGCCGGACTATTACTGAAATAGAACGTTGTTTAGTGACACACTTAGAGGGTCATAGAGCTACATTTATCTTTTGATTGTTCATAGTATGATGGTTGATTGGGACCTTTTAAAAATCTATCATATTAAAAAATCTTACGCAAATAAAATAAAGAGTATTTTACAATAGCACACTCTGTCGGTGGAACAGCCAAGTAAATTAAAGTTTAAATTTAAATATAATTTCCAATATTTTCGGTTCTCCATTTCCACATAGAATATTTTTTTTACATAGTAACTTAACTTTTATGACGTATTTTGTCAACTTACACATTTGATTGGCTTCATTCACAATTGCGCTCTTCTACGCATGACGATTCTATACACAGTATACACCATGAGTATACAGTACACAAAGCATATGCTTGTGATACACTCCTATTCCTACATCTCACCTGAATGCACCGCAATATCCTGGGCTTTGCTTAGCCGCAGAACACCAATCGCCCTGAGACGTTTCTGAGGGTAAATTGTAGGACAAAGGTGGTTTTACAACTGAGATTAGGCCATCACCGTTTAATAAATACATTATTACATGATTCTTATGTTTAATTGTATGATTTTGCATTAATAGTAGTGTATCCCTGTGACTATGACACAAAAACGATTCCAGATTAACTGTCATTCATTAGTGTGGCACAAGTGAAAGTCAAAGACAATACATTGTTTTTGATATCATTACTAAAGGATTTGCTCAGTCCGGTTCACCCGACGTAGTTTCCTGCCCGGACCATCAAGAGAACACAGAACACACGTTCTTCTCCTGTCCACATTGTAATTGCTGCGCCTAAAAGCAAATCAACATCTTCCGGTGCTGTAGGTTGAAATATTCTAGGAAACCTTTTTGGAGGGTGAGAACTACTGGAACTGCTGATGGCACTTTGTCCGGATCATCTTTCAAGCTAAAAAAACTACTCGCATAGATTGTAGATAATATTAAAATGAACGACCAGAAAACTAAAGTATCATGTAAGGTGAGCACCGAGCAATCTCGGCTTAGTTCTGACGTAGTGAACTACCACAAGTGTTCCCGACGTTAAGTTGGACGAGTAGAGTTTTTTATGGTATTTTAAGCTTGTAATTTTCCTGCACTACAAACTGGTCAACAACGTGGGTAAATGTGTTTATGTATCTTCCCACCTCATAAAAGAAAATAAATATAAATAAAACAATAATAATAATAATCAGGGATTGCTGAAGTCCTAAGTTCCGGAGTAAATGTTGATTGGTCCCCGAAGTAAGTATTCGTTGATAAACAACTACAATGAAATGAGAAATATGTTTTTCCTTGGTACTTTTAATCATACTTTATCGAGACCACCAATTATTATGAAAACAATAATGTATGCTATCAAGTTGAGAGGACAGGATTCAATTTTTTGCTTATTATTCGAACAATAGTTAATTTTTAAAGTGTGTTTGGCATTAAGGGCAATGCATTTGGACCATAATAAAATATGCATGTTATTAACTTTAATATTACACAAAATCACGTATTATCATTCCGAAGAAAATGTCCACGCCTAGAAGCTAACGCACTCCTCCATAAAATGAAGGAATATAACTGGTTGGATAATATCCTGAGTCGTTCCTGTTGAGATTTTGTGCATAATGGTTTTCACTAATTGCCATGATTAAAACAGATATCACTACGGAGATGAAATAGCTTGGATCATTTGTGTAATCTTTGCTTATGTTCATCATTAATTCCCATCATTTTATGCCTTATACGCTATATAGTGTAAGATAAAAGATGACAATGTCTTACCACATAATGCACCATAACTGAATGGCAGAATAATAATTACTAAAATGACATACTCAAAGATTATGGAAATTCTGTCCATTACAGTTCGATATAATCAACGTTTCTTGTAAATATCTTATCATTTTTCGTGAGCTAATCTTGTTTTTTAGTGTTTTTTTACAAATGTATCCCATTCATAGCCACATTAGGTTGTCCATAATAATGATTATAAATTCTAAAACAACAATAAATTATTATAAATTATTTTAATTATTAAAAACTATTAATTATTAGGACAGAAATATTTTCATGGTTTAAAGGTGTAAGGTGGGATTAACTTGAATGAGTTCGCGAACCAGCATGATCGGACCATGGGAACAATGTTTAACGGGGGGTTTATGGGGTAAAAATGTTTAGTTTTTTTTTCATTTTTGACCCTCAAAACACAAAACTTCACAATTTCTCACTAGATCTTTTTTTAAAGGGATAAAAAAAGCAATAAATTTAGTATTTCAAAGTATTTTTGTACGGTTATTGGTAACGGAGAAAATTTCAAAAATTCTATTTTTTAAATTCCCATGTTATTCTTATAGAGAATATTGTAAAATGTTGTAGTTAGCTTGTTTATGGATATATTTTGATCGAACTGGACAAATGTATTTATTGTATGCTTAGATAATAATACTTTACAAAAAAACACGGTAAATTAGTTTCCTTGTAGCAGCAAACCTAGGCACTCGTTAAACCTAATGTTATTTTAATAGTGTTTTAATACCGTACAGTATATAGATTAATGAGAATTCATTAGTTTTGATTCAAAGTATATTATTTAATTCAGTTATAAAGCCAGAACCTTCAAAATATTTACAATTCGTCAATAAACCAACAGATGTTAATTATAACATCTGCTTAATATTACAACATCTCTCCTTTTTAGTTGCCCTCGTATCTTTTCACAGGTTTCACGATTCTTCCAAACCTTGTTCTAACTTCTTCATTAGATTGGAGACTTGGTTGTGAATAAGAAGGATTGTTATTGTTTACAAACAGCCTTGTATTGAAAGTTGGTGTACTGGTATTTCTAGAGACTTGTCTTGGTGCTTTCTGATTACTCTGATTAGTGTTGTTGGTTTGAGAGGTAGGGGTTTTGAGTAAGCTCCGTTCATTGTTTAAGTCTATAGGAGTTTTCGGAGACTGATCGTTATTTTTAGAGAAAGGAAGTGGAGTAATACTTGCTGATTGTTCAGGACTGGTTTGGCTTTTGTACGGAATCAAGTGGTATCTGTTTCGGCGTACTGTGTTTCTTTCAGTATTTACCCAATAAGATCTTGGCTCATTGGCTAGGTTTGTTATTGTACCCTGACGTTTTAGATCTTTGATCCACACTTTTTGTCCTCGTTGCAACTGGGGTAAATCCCTGGTACCGTGATGCTTATCATATTGATTTTTGTAGGATTCTCTGTATTTTTCCTCCCTCTTCTTGAAACTGGATAAGTCAGGTCTTTCAGAAAGCTTCTGTGGCAATACAGGTAAATTATCTCGTAACCTCCTGTTGAACAAAAGTTGTGCTGGGCTAAGCCCGTTGGCTGTAAGGGGTGTGTTCCTGTAGGATAGGAGTGCAAGGTATGGGTCTTCTTTGTTCTTTCGTAAGACACTTTTAGCTATTTTTACAGCAGCTTCTGCAGAGCCGTTACTTTGATGATGTCCGGGACTGCTTGTTGTTAGTTTGAAGTTGTACTTTTGTGCAAAAACTTTAAACTCAGAATTTTCTAAGCATGTCCGCTGGGAAGCAAACTGAGTTCCACAGTCTGATCTAAGTTCGACAGGTATTCCGTGGCGACAAAAAATTGATTTGCATTTCTCTATTATCTCACTTGTAGTTAATGTTTTTAATGTTGCTATTTCAAAGTATCGACTGTAACAGTCTGTCATTACTAGAAACCAAGTCCCATCAATTTTGAATAAATCGATGCATGCTTTCTCCCATGGACGAGAAGGAATTTCAGATGTCATTAGTGGTTCATGATGCTGGGATCTAAATTCTGTGCATTTAGGACACTCATTAACCGTTTGTTCTATGTCCGAAGATATACCTGGCCACCACATGCTGTGACTTGCTCTAAGTCGGCATTTACTGATTCCAAAATGTCCGGAATGAATTCTATTTAGCATATCAAGTCTTAGGTCACTAGGAATAATGAGTCTATCTCCTTTCAGCAAAACACCTTCACAGAAGGAAATTTCGTGGCGGACTGGGTAGTAAGGTTTTAATGCATTAGGCAATTTGGATTTGTCCGGCCATTCAGAGGAGCAAAACTGCTGAATTCTTCGGAGAATCGGGCATGATTTTTGTGCATCACATATTTTCTGGATTATAGCATCGGTTGTACCCAAATTTGTAATTACTGAACTAACAGCAAATTCAACTTCTTTTTCTAAGTCGTATGATTCTTTAGAAGGCAGAGGGCTTCTTGAAAGACAGTCGGCTGTCGCAAGATGTTTTCCTGGAGTGTATGTAACTCTATAGGAGTATCTCATAAGTCTTAGACGTAGTCTCTGAATACGGGGTGTTAGGTCATTCAAATCTTTGTTTGTTAGAATACTAACGAGAGGTTTGTGGTCTGTTTCAATGATTATGTCTTTGCCAATTATGTATTGTTTTAGTTTATCACAGCTCCAGGTTACAGCAAGGGCTTCTCTTTCTATATTGGAGTAGTTTTTTTCGCTCTCAGTAAGTGTTCTTGAGATGTATGAAATAGGTTTCCATTTGTTGTCTACTTGTTGCTGAAAGAGTACTCCACCAAGACCTGTTTGAGATGAGTCAGCAGACACCATGGTAGGGCGGCTAGAATCATAGAACGCCAGTTGGGGAGCGGAAGCAAGAAGTGACTTTATCTCTTCAAAGGCTATATTTTGTGTTTTGCCCCAAACAAATTCATTTCTTGTACTTAAAAGGTCTGTAATTGGTTTAAGTATTTGGCTTTTATTTGGAATATATTTTCCTACAAAATTTACCATTCCAATAAATCTTTGCACACCTGCTATGTTAGTAGGAGGAGGCAATTTTGTTATGGCTTCCACCTTTGATTCATCAATTTTGATACCATCCCTTGATAATTGGTGGCCTAAAAATGTGAGAGACTTTTGTGAAAACTGGCACTTGCCTTTATTTAGAGTAAAGCCTGCATTTTGAAGCTTTCCAAGTACTTCTTCAAGAGCATGATCGTGTTCTTCTTTGGTTTTTCCCCAAACAATGATATCATCCATATGAGCAACTGCATTCTTTTGTCCATTGAGGGTCTTGTTCACTAACTGTTGGAAAATCTCTGGTGCTGAACTTATACCAAAGGGCAATTTTAAAAACTTGAAACGACCGAATGGCGTTAAGAAAGTGGTCAAATCTTGTGATGTCTCATCTAAACTGACTTGCCACTCAATGAATGGTATCTTCCAAAACGTTTTCTCCATCTTGGCCATTCACTGGGTTTGAATGTAAAAGGTTCTGGTGGTTTCACATTTAGGGAAATTGCAGCTTCATGAGGTACATTAAGGGAAACATTAGGTTCATTCGACGACTGCGCCATGTTTTAATACCGTACAGTATATAGATTAATGAGAATTCATTAGTTTTGATTCAAAGTATATTATTTAATTCAGATACAGTTATAAAGCCAGAACCTTCAAAATATTTACAATTCGTCAATAAACCAACAGATGTTAATTATAACATCTGCTTAATATTACAACAAATAGATTTAATTGGAAATAAATTCAGACAAATAAAAAAAACGCTTAGTCGGAAGGTTTGCTGCAGTGGGGGTTTAATATTGTATTTAATAAAGTGTATATTTTAAACGTGTTAGTTTTGGTACTGTATTCCGGTAGTGTATGAAATATTTACGTAATATGGTTTTACTCTATAATAATGTGTAAGAGTAGTAATTGGCTGTATATTCTTAAATAGTTCCTTCCATGTGCAACAGGTTATTTTATCTATACAAACAAAATCCAAAACACAAATGTAATTTACTTTTAGAACACATTTTTAATATTTTAGTAATTTTTGCAATAATTTAAGAAAACCCCGTATTGAGATATAAAAAAACCTTTACGAGTGTTATTACTAAAAAAAATCTAGTAGAGAAATACTAATTGTAATACTGTATACATCGTTGTTAAATAACTGCTACAATCCTCCACAAAGAGGTCTAACACGATAATTCCCCAGTGTCAAGGATTAATACCGAACAATGGAGTTTATAACTGTAAAGTCTATATATGCAGGTCTATATTTTACCGAGTATAAGTGGATTCCCTTACAATTTATAGCAGCGGGTCGTTGCCGTCCCTTGGGCACCGTTACAAATCTAACCTTTCCCACACGGGATCTCCTTACACCATAGATCTATTATTTCACTTTTTAGATAAAAGAAAGTAAAAAAATAAATAAAAATACTAAGCTTTTAATATTTTGCTAAAACACACTTTATTGCCCTCCCTGTAGCAGCAAACGTAGGTACTTGTCAAACCTAGTGTTGTTTAAATAAATTTAATTGGCAATCCAATTAGGTATATGGAAATTCCTTTAGTCCGTAGGTTAGCTGCGGCGGGGATATTTCTCTCTTGTGCTATCACGAAACATAAACATTGAAGGAATAAAATTCTAAAAATTTAATTGAATGTGCGTAGACACTTTCTTAATTTCATTAATAATTGTCAAAAACTGCTGGTAATCAGGTTATAACTGAAGAAAGTATGAATCAAATTGGTAAAATAAAAAAAAAACACAAATAAAAAAATTCTACCATTTTTTTTTCTTCAAAAAATACAAGGAAGATGAATTTAGACATTATATTTTTTTCTATACTTTATAAATTTGTTTCAAATGTTCGGTGCATTAAAAGTAAAGTGAAGAAAGTATGAATCAAATTGGTAAAATAAAAAAAAACACAAATAAAAAAATTTTATAATTTTTTTCCAAAAATACTAGGAAGATGAATTTAGACATTATATTTTTTTCTATACTTTATATTTTTTTTCAAAATGTTCGGTGCATAAAAAGTAAAGATAATGTCAAACATTAAAATTCTTCGAGGTTCGATACTCGGTGTTTATACTATCCATCCACAGTGAACGATGAAACATTATTATGTAATAACTAGCTGTTACCCAAGGGCCTCACCCCGTTTGACTTCATAAGTTTTAATAAAACTTCAAACAAATAAGTTCAACTGACGTATTTTTAAAATAAGGTATATGGAAAGTTCCCTTTAGAAAGGAATTACGACCTTAAAGGGCAATTTATGAAATAATGCATAGCTTTGCGCAAGGTTTCTCGTCATGACAAACATTTTAAATATATGGTTTATGACGGTATGAATTTTAGTTTTCCCCAAAGTTCATGGGTACTTTGGGATTTATATATGGAAAATGAACAATCTTTATTATTAATACGCTACATGAGACTTTGTAAACAACAAGGCTTTCTTGTTTTAAGATATAACCTACAAATTATATACCAAACCTTTCGTCTAGGTGTGTAGATTTGCAAACTGACCATTTATATACATTTTTTTTAACATTTTTGAAAACCCCTTGGGCTCTGCCCCATTGGCTTTTAAAGTTCCCATGTTATCCTTAAGGGCCGCTTTCCCCAATTCGGTTAATCTCAATATTAACCCTGTTTACATTTTAATCGTGAGATTAAACCTATTTCACTTTCTCCGTCATATTTTTGACTGAGATAATCCAACTGAAATTTCAAAGTGGTTGGCTACACTGCCAACTAATTTTTTACAGTTCTCGTCATCTGTTAGTTCACTTGTGTTTTTTACATTCTTTGCTTCAAGTAAACATAACGTGCTTGATTAAAAATTGTTTAACTTTGAGATGGAAAAGAAAAAAGTAGAAGGGTGTGAAGGGAGGATAAAACACTTGAAGAGAGGTAAAAAGGAATCTGAAATTGATTTGCTTTTGAATTTAGTATCTGAAATAAAGACATCGTTGATTACACAAATCTGACCACACAACTTTAAAAGAAAAAGAAAACGAAGGCCATAGAAACTATATTCAACGCTGAAGTGGTATTGATTGTACTGCTCTGAGAATAAAATATGATAACATCAAGAAGAACGCCAAAAAAGATGGGCAGAAGAAAAAAAAATTGCGGGACGCGTGGTGGGGCCATTTATGCCACCGTCGGTGACTGAAATATACGTGAAAATTAAAGATATAATTGAGAATCTACCAGTTCTTGGAATGGCATCACAATACGACTTTTATTGTTCATGGCAATGACGCTTCTACGTCAAACATTGCCGATGTCTACACTCCCCTCACATTCAATGTTAACGAATATGACGGAAGACCGGTCGTTGGAATAGAATACATTGGTTATGGGGATAAAGTAGATTGCTCATTTCAAAACTTACCAAAACTTAATACTTAATTAGAGAATTATTGTAAAGTACAAGATTCACCAAGTTCGACGTCTCTTGCAGACGAATCGAAATCTTCAAAAGCTGCCAAGGAAGAATTTGGTCCAACCCTTTCTGCAAAGCTTCTTAAAGAAAATGAATCTCAAGCATTACTTGTCAATAAATCAAGAACCGTCATGAATAGGTCCAAAGTTGGTGCAAAAGTTGAAGAGATATCAAGGGCAAAAGAGGAGGTTCTAAAACTGCAAAAGAAACTCTATGAAGACACAATTTTATTCCAGAGGGAAGAACATGAACTGAAGATGGATTGTTTGCGAGAAAATGAGAATTGTTGAAAAAAAGATTAGAGAGAGAAAGTGTATAATGTTTAGATTTTAAATATTTGTTGAGTACCTAAAGTTCAAGTTAATTCTTCATTCTAAAGTTGATGTATATTATTTCACTTTTATTGTTTCAGATCAACGATAATTTTGTAAATTTGTAAAATATTTAGTTAATTCTTCATTCTAAAGTAGATTTATATTATTTCACTTTTATTGTTTCAACGATCAACGATAATTTTGTAAATTTGTAAAATATTTATAAATAAGTTACAAATATTGAGTTTTCCTTTATATTTTTAATACAAAATAAACAACTTAAGTCTAAAACCTAACAGAATACAACCACTCGTCAGTTATTTTAAATCAACCTTGTAAAGTAAAATGAAACTATAAAATACACTCTAAATAAAGGTGTTTAGTGTAAAACTTTAGAACAACTACCTATAGCATAAAAAGATACCCTATATTTTAAACGAGGTTTCTGAAATAACCATTAATCAGGGTGTCCCGTCTCCAAGATGTTCCTCTCCTACGGACAGGATTCACTTGTAAAGTTGGTTCGTCAAAGTCCTTCAATTGCGGCCAACTCTTCGGCAGATACTGGCGGGATATCTTCTCAATACAAATGTTGTGTAGCACGGCCGTTGCTACAATGACATGTTTGTATAGTACTAATATAATTAAACCACGCACAATTAAGAAACACACAAACTGTGAACCGATGTAATAAAAAACAACCACATAGGTTATGTTGATAGAAAACTATATTAATCCAGATTATAGGGTTAAACTGGACTTGAACAAGTGGTTAAGATAAACGTTAGATTAAACTTGCCATGGACAGTAGGGAAAGCGAAGCGGGTGTGAATCTTAAGTTTAAACTCTTTCCAAGGATTAAACTGACTTGGGGAAAGCGGCCCTTACTCATTATCATAGAGTAAATCCATATTACGTAAATACTAGCTGTTACCCACGGGCTTCTCCCCGTTTGACTTCATAAGTAATAAGAAAACTATTTATTAATTAAGTTAAGCTGGAATAAAAAAAGAATATAGTGATACAAACAAATAATCACACCTGATTTTAATAAGATAATACATTGAAAGAATAACAAACAAATAAGTACAGCTGAGGTATTTTTAACATTAGGTAGCAATTTCTCCTTTAGAAAGGAATTAGGCAATTTATGAAATAATGGGTAGTTTTTGCGCAAGGTTTCTCTTTGTGACGAACATTTTAAGTATATGGTATATGGTGTGACTTAGTTTTCTCAAAAGTTCAGTGGTACTTTGGGATTCATACAGGGTGTTTTTTTTTTTAAGTGTGCCACCGTTGGGATCTCAGTAACTAATGATTTTACAGCAAACTTTAAATGGGGAACATTCCCTTGTTTTTAAAGAGGTTCAAAAATAATAAAATAAAATCTTTGTAAATGGCCGCCATTTTCCAATATGGCGGTCAACTTCATTTTTTCTTATGGAAACCCCTGTATTTTATGGTGATTTCGGATTGTAAATGAAAATTTAAGACTTTTTTATTCCTGAGTAACTTTTGATATACTCAACCGTTTAGGAGCTACAGAGGCTCGATGGTTCAGAAGTACCATAGCATTATGAGAGGACTAAATGCTGCAAGGCCCACAAGAAAGGCTTACCTCCTGAGCAATAAAACAATTGAAACTGCCACCCATCGCCTGGACAGTGGGGAC